AATATGTGAAGAATGAAAGTTGTTCCAGCCTATTCACATCAATCATTCCCTCATCTTCAAATGTATCACAGCAAAGTGACCATTCCTGGAACAAGTTTGGTACAGATTAAGGTATGGGTGTAAAAAAAAACAAACAAACACCTGTGCTGTTTCTCCGATCCTTCAGATATGCCCCTCCACGTCCGGCGCAGCAGCGACCCCGCCCTAATGACCATCAACGGGCCTTTTGGCGGCGGCGGCGAATCACGAGTCCAACCAGAAGAGGCGCCCTCGAGGAAGAACCCGACGCGCTGGTCCACCACGGCCGGCTTCCTGAAAGCTCGGCACTCCTCCGGCACCAACAGCCTCGAGAGGAAGGTAAGCTGGCTGCTCTTTCAAAAAGAGAGACGGCTGTTTTTTTCTCTGTGGTAATTCAAAACGATTGGAATTTGATGGAGAATAAAGTGCATATTTAACTATATTAATTACACAACAGATGTGCTAAGAGCTGATATGTTTCTGTTTGGGAAAAAAAAAAGAAGAAAATCAGTTTTTGAACAACTCAGGGACATTGTAAATTTGCCAAATGATCCAACCGTTACTAACAAGGCTGTTATCAAATCCCTGCATCTTTAGACTTGGCTGCTAATGTGCAACTTCTGAATTTTCTATTCTACAAATCCTAGGTGGTATGTTTATAGCCATGTACAGAGCCTGTACTCCAAGAGGACGGTCCAGGTTCAACTCCTTTCCCACTCTATCCCCTGTATCCACCCTCTATCCAAATCACATCTAGAAAATGTAGCGCCGTAATTTCAGCAAAAGTTGAAACATTATCCTTGTATTTTGCTCTCAGGGTAAAGGAATGGACACGTATCGCAGCCTGCCGCGGGATGCAGGGACATGGGCCAATCAGAGGGAGTTTCAGAGAGAGACGGCCCGCTCATCGCTCAGCGCCAATCACCCCATGGTGGACCGCTGGCTGGAGAGACAGGAACAGGTAGGACCGTGTTCAGTACACACACACACACACACACACACACACACACGAGTACACTCTGGTGAAAAACAAAATTGGACGCACTCCTCCGTTTTGTCGAGGATGCTTCCATGGAGTGGCTTCTGCTACCACGAGAACATTGTTTTGTACTGTAACATTTTGCCAACGCACTGTTCAAAACTGGATCAGCTGCAGCTTGTTAAATGTAAACCCCACTTTTCAAAATGGCTCCTTGTGGTGCTGCAGAGGATTGAAACAAGGCTATGGTGGATGGGGACGACAAAACTGTACTAAAAAAAGAAAAAACCCAACAGTGATGACATTCTTACAAAACCTCTCACACACACACACACACACACACACACACACACACATCATACCCCTCCATTATGTATGTCTGGACATGAAATGTAAACAACAGATACCTTCAACTCTGCTAGATTTACAGCCAGTCCCAACCTCCGCACTCCGTCAGCTCTACGCTCTGTGAAATCCACTCTGAGTGTCCAAGAACAAGTCCAGATCCCGACCCAGTTCTATCACTCCCCTGTCCCTCACTTAAAGAGGCTAAAAGTGAGAAATATTACTATAAATCCACCATGACACATCGGTCATGGATGGAGAAATAACACAATGTTGACACAGTAAATAACATAAGCCACATTCTGAACATGTGTTCCTGTTTAACTTGATATGTGGGAGTACCAGGGCCTCTGTTCCCCTCGTGGGTAAAAGTGTTCATAAAACATGATAACATATCAAAACCCACACTCAGCATTCTGTTCATTCTTGGGTTTGAGTCCCCCTCTAGACTTGATTTGTTTAAAAAGAAACATGTTGTGTATAAGGGTGTGCATGCACGCAATCTGGTCTTTTTAACGGCCCGTTGGTTTGATTTGTTTAATGCCTTTGCTCTGGAAAGACATTAGCATTATTCATTGGTTTAATGATGAGGGATTACTCTTGAGTGCAATGGTGAGATAATGATCTGAAGTTGAACTCGTGCAAGCTGATATGGGAGTGTTTCACTGACGGGGCGCTCGGAGAGTAGTACAGAATATAAAACCCAACGGCACATGGACAGAAAACACTTTTTTTCTGTCGCTCTGGAGCGAAAAAATGTTTCTCAATCTGGGGTTCAAGAGCTCTGACAACCTCCGACCATACAGGGGGTTTTGACATGGCCGTTGTGACATGAGATTGCTATACACAATGGCAGTCTGAACAAGCCAAAGTCTCAGGGTCTGTAGTGACTCTTAAGTGGATATCGGGCTGAAGACGCTTTGCTACACCTCTATCCCGAAAGGCCTTAACCATCAGGCATTCCCTCTTCTGTCTTATATGTTTCTTTAATGAGACCATAGTTAACATGAATGAACGTCATTGTATTGAGGACTATTTGGGACAAGGGATTGAGACCATTAAGTCATTAGCTAAATGTTTTCTGAGGCTATAAATCACTTAGGAAGTAGGATCATTCTCCCATTTACTTGCATATGATATGATCGCACTTTCTTTAAGCAGTTGCCCCTGCTGGCCATTAAGGGGAATGCAGGATCAAGGCACTAACCCTAACCCAAACGTAACCCTAAACCTTACCCTGCATTGGAGCTTTTTTTCAAACCCTGAGGCTACTTCCACTTCTCATCTAGTCTATACTAGTCTGTATCGTCAGACACTGATAGTCAGCAACGTTTGACCATCACATGCACTTTTTGCAGTGTGTTTAAGTGCTAGTCCGCCCCTCAGCAACGAGCGTTTAGCTGATTCAACATGTTGAATCAATGTTTGCAGCAGTCGATAAAACATTCTGACTGTTCAGCCTTAATGAATGTCGGATTTCATTTATTCCTTTCCATTTTCCTTATCGTCTGCTTTTACCTTTTTTTCTCTCGTTCTTCAAGCAAACAGTCTGAAAAATGCTGCTGCAAAGCAAAAACACAATTTAACAGCGGCAGTTTGCAGTTTTGTTATCACATATATTTTTTTTGTATTCAAGCATATGACAAAACTGGTTAATTGGACTCAGTGGTGTGAACATGGATGGCAAATTAGTTTTGTTTTTCTCTCTGGCTGTCGTGAATACTGACTGGATATTTTGTCTGGTTCAGACACAGAATGTACAAACACGCTACGTACAAACACTTTGCCTCAGTCGGCTTTTGTCTGAAGTATTTTAGGCCGAGTTCAAGTGCAACTTTTAATCCACGGTGTCAGTCGACAACATTGTTTGTTTTGACAGTTTAACGTCTTGGAAGAGATCTCTAACGCTCGACAAATCATCATCAAGGGTTCTTCTTAAACTCACAGTCAAACTTGTCGCTATTTTTCTTCTTTATATAAGTGATTTTGTAAAACAGCTCCTTCCGCAGAGGGGCTAACTGTACAACACATTCTCACCATCGATCAGAGTCGAGCCGCTCCGTTTCCCATCATCTGTCTTCGAACAGATTTTTAGTATGAAGGGGAGGGTTAAGTGGGAGAGGTCAGCGCAGGATGGTGTCGTTTGTATTAATGACCTGCTGAAGGCCATCTGCTCTCCCTAACATGAACACATACACACCCTGAAACACACAAACGTCCCCCAGCATCCTCTGATCCTGCTGACAACCCTCACTGCGCCTTGAACAGCTTCATCGCTCTGTGAGGCCTCGTGGTGTTTGTGTTTTTATTAGGACATTAATGCAGTTGCACATTTTGTTGGGACTTGATGATAACATAAATTCTAAAAGTGCTTCAGTCTGACTTTATTAAAACATTTGACCCTGTATCTCAGGTTTGATGGTAATAGTTCATATTCACTGTTCACTTCCAGAGACAATGATCTTATCTTGATATCTTCATAACCGGTTTCACTCATACGCTCCTGAAAATGATCTAGATCATTTTGGGAGGACTGCTCCAGGGATTTTCTCCTGACTTTGCTGTTCACACATGCTCATCCTCACAGCGGGAGATAGTCCCTGTCAGACGGGTCACTCGGACTTGATGTGGAAAAAAACACTAAGGGTCTGGCAGGAGAAACTCCGGGTGAAGCCAGAGCCAAAAATTCAGCTGTTTGTGTTCACACATGCAGCTTCTATGGCAAATATCATGAGGTTTTCAGGAGATCCCTGCAGGTGTGAACACCCTCATAGAGTCTCTACTCAAAATCACAGAAGTATAAATCTAAAGAAGCATCGTCTACTTGTCAAAGTATCCCCCTGTGACGATGGAAATATGACTGTGTGTGTGTGTGTGTGTGTGTGTGTTAATAAGACATTCTGAGTGAAAGCTGTGTTGATCTTTAACTTACAGCTGCTTCGTGTTTGTTAATGTGTGAAATGACCCAAAAAAGTCTGAATCCAAGTAACATGACTGTATAAATATAATAATGTCCAACTTCTTCATATCAATTACACACACACACACACACACACACACACACACACACACACACACACACACACACACACACTCTCTGTTGTTGTTGGCTCGTCTTGTGTGTGTACGATCTCTCTGCTCGCTGCTGTCACTGTTTCATGTCACAGTGATTTAAGCTCCACTTAGCGTACTTACTTACAGGAAGGATGTTGCAACAGTGCCGTGATGAGAACAGCTTTTATTTTATTATGACACGGGATAATCAAATACCAGAAGAGATGAGACTCACTAGGCATGAGAAAAGTCATTCCTCTTACAAAGCCAAAGCCTGTAAGGATCCACTGTAAGAGTGAAGTCTCTTACTGTTGTTTTGATGTTCTCTGATTGGTCAAATCGAAGCCTACTCATCAGTACATGTCATTTAGTTTAAATCAAGTTTAATGCAGATCCAGTTGGTTCATATTGATGCCAGGTTCTGAAAGTTAGCTTCTATTTCCCTGGGTAGTTACTGTTTGGTCTGTAGTACATAGCTCCATGTGTTGAACCGTTATTCAAGGATATAGAACAAAACAAGATAATAATGTACATGAATCCTGTCCTGGCTTTTGCAGCAGCTCTACACCTGATCGTGTACTCCTGAAAAGACGAGTCAGTTTAGGGATCGGCATTGCAAATTAGCTTAGCCTTAGTCCCCTTGTGTCCACCTAGCGTTTTTTTTTTTTTTCCCAGGCTGAAAAGCGCTGGCTGTACGCTCGGGAGTGTTTGCATGAAGTGTTTGTGCACTGAGAATAAAGGTTCTGCACGTCCGTCCTGTCTCTATGACAACAGTCTGTTGACAACAATCGCTGTATGAGCGACACTGCTCTGTTACTTTTTACTGCATGTTTTATATTTGAGAACGTTTTTTTAACCCGGTCAGACAAAGAGGATGTGGATACAAGATACGATCTGGAGCTGGAAAAAATACTCTGAATATCATACATTTGGAAAAAGAGCGCCGGTGACGTCAACATGCGCCTTCCTGAAAAGTTGAAAGATGTTAAACTTTAGCGCTCGGAGCAGAAAAGACGCAGGGTGCTGCAGGCGGCCGCTTTCTGCTGCAAACACTCTCTCCTCATTGAAAACAACTGAAAAAAAGATGCTGATGCTCAGAAAAAAAAAACGCTCGGTGGACAACGGGGCCTTAGGCTATGAAATGCTGCAGTGTGTCAGAGGTTGACTTCCTTCATACTGGCTGCACAAACACGTCCTGTGAAGAAATGATGCACCTCTACATTGTAAGTAAAGACTAACAAAAGAATCATCAAGTTAAAAAAAGACAGTAAATCCTCTTAAAGGAGCAGATTTTAATGTCCATACAGCTTCTGCAGTATTCCTACACCTTCTTTTCAGTTCATTACAGCTCCACAAAGAATCCAGCGATTGGCAACAATGAGCTCATACTTCCATTTTTCCCACTTGTGCATCGGGCCTTTTGTTAAGAGTGTGAAATAGAACGGCACTGTATGGGAATGAAGAATGGCATAGCGGGGAATGGAATGTGCTGTGATTTAATTAGGATGGAGCAGCTTTTGGAACGATGACTTGAGCAGCGCAATTTCCTCAAGTTAGTCTCCTCTTATCTTTCCCTGAATGAA